TGAAGACGGAAGTTCTGTTTTGACCGCCAATGAGTTTAGTTGCCGAAACTCTGGGTCTTGAACGATTCATTCTATCGAATACTGACGTCTGGGGGGTAGGTTGAGGCTCTTCTTTATTTTGTATAATGCTCACGCTGATGTGTTGAGCGCTAGCATTTTTTGTCTTGCTAGAGATCTTCACCGGTGCATTTGGTGTGAAGCCAAGTCCAGCTTTGTTGTTGTTGACCCCGTAACCATGTTCCTCCAACTTCTTTTGAGTTTTAGTGAGATCACGTTTGTTGTCTTTGACGGTGTTCAAACCCTTCTTTCCCAAATTTGCAGAGGAGGTGAAGTTGTACCCAGCTTTAGACATGAGTTTGTAGGCATTTGGATCAAAACCTTCTTCGGTCCTCTTGGTTGGGAGAAAGCTTGGTTCTACCCCTTTTGGCAGGCCTTTTATGAAGCCTTGTGATGGTCCTGCAACCTTAGTGTCGCCTAGCTGTGTTAAAGGCAGAATTGCATTTGTTTTAAGCAACTTTACATTATCCATGTGCCGCTGTGCATCGGCTTTGCTAGCTGCAGTTTCAAACGGGGATTGACCATTCTTTCTTCTAGACGTCGGGATGTATCGGAAAACGGGTATGTTTGGTCCATTTGAGGGCGTTCTACTCCCTTTGGTTGTTGCAGGTTTAGCAAGCTCATCGTTGTTTTTGCTTGAAGATGGCATAATTTCTTCTTCTTGCTTTTTTGGCACGGCTTGCCACTCCTGCTTTTTTGGTGTTTCTTTGCCCATGGATTTGATCTCTTTTCGAAGAGTTTCGGGCACCATGTCTTCATCCATGTAGAACTTGGCGTCTGCGAAATGTGATTCGGCTTCAGTGAATGGCTTGGTGTCGCCATAGATCACCTTCACTCCTTCTCGGTAAAATTTTAAGCATTGGTGAAGGGTGGACGGTACTACTCCATTTGCATGGATCCAAGGCCTTCCTAAGAGCAAACCGTAGGAAGTTCTTGCATCAATCACGTGGAATATTGTGCTTGACTTGAGTTCACCAATGGTCATCTCCACTCGGACCATGCCCATCACTCTTTGTCCTCCTTGGTTAAAACATTGGATTAGTAGACGGCTTAGGGATAGTTCATCCACCTTGATGCCGATTGTGGTCATTGTTGACTTTGGCATGATATTTATGGCTGATCCGCCATCCACAAGCATGCGGCTGACTTTATGCTCCCTTACGTACCCAGAGACGAAGAGAGGTCGGTTGTGAGGCTTGGATCCTAGCAGCAAGTCTTCATCGGTGAAGTGGATTGCGTCCTCGGCGGCACAGCATATGGCACATTCATATGGCCGAAGCTTCAAGATTTCGTTCTTGCTTTCTTGCACTTCTTGGTCGTCGGGACTTGCCAAGACCGCTGCCAGTGCTCTTCGCATCTCCTTTGGCAACCGGAGCGCTCATGATGCTAAGGTGTGTTGGCAGACCTTCTTCAGTTATAAGAGTATTTTCCCCCTCAGTGGTGACAGCTTTGCCTTTTGAGGGTTCTTCCATTTCTACTTCGACCATGTGACATGCACTGATAGTGCACTGTTGGAAGAAGTCATCCGGGAAGTATTCGTGCAAGGAGACGGGAATACGTGGCTCTTGCTCCATAGGTTCCCCAGCATATGTTGACTTAGCAGCTCTTATACTTCTTTTAGGCTTCCTATTATTGCGGCGACGATGCTTTCTCGCTTGTTCCCCATTTGGCTTTATAGCTTGTGGTCTTGGCTTCCTCGTCTTCTTATAGGTCACCAATGTCCACCATTCTTCATCATCGATAGGTGCATCCTGGTCGTTTGCCCCCAATGATGGTTGTGCAGAAGGTGCCATGTAGCTTGTACATTGATAAGAATGGTCAGGTATTTCTTGAAGAGGCACGGGATCAAAGGACCCGAACACGATCGTAGTGGTATGCGTTGCGGCTGTGTTTTCTAGGTCGAGCTCAATCCGCCCTTGCTGTGCCAACTTCATGATGAGTTCTTTTAGGATGAAACATTTGCCCACATGATGACCCACGATACGATGGTACTTGCAGTACTTGGGATCGTTGGTACGATTCATCTCTTCAGGGCGTTTGCATTCAGGCAACTCAATCACCTTCTTCTCCAGCAAGTCGTCCAGCATTGCATCCATGTCGGAGTCCGGAAAAGGGTATACCTTCTGCTCCAGTTCCCTCAAAGTGTTTTTGTACCTATCTTGGGTGTGGGAAGGCTCACTTCTTTTTATCTCCTTTGCTTTGTTATTGAAGGAGATTTTGACGGGTGCGGACGAGGTCTTGATGGGGATGGTTTTGGTGGTAAAAGCTTCCTTGGCGAGCTTTTTCCCATTATTGTCTGCTCTTGAAGTAAACACCTTATCCCTTTTGAAATCGGTGATTGGCTTCTTCTTTCCATGGTGGGCGATGCTCAGTTCCATGTCGTGGGCACGGGTGGCTAATTCTTCAAAAGTCCGTGGCTTGATACCTTGAAGGATGTATTGTAAACCCCATTGCATGCCCTGGATGCATATCTCGATTGAAGAAATCTCGGAGAGCCTGTCCTTACAGTCGAGGCTTAGATTACGCCATCGGTTGATATAGTCCATGACTGGTTCTTCCCTCCATTCTTTCGTGCTCGTCAGCTCCAGCATGCTCACAGTGCGGCGGGTACTGTAGAAACGGTTGAGGAATTCCCTTTCCAACTGTTCCCAGCTGTTGATGGACTCGGGCTCCAGGTCTGTGTACCACTCAAAGGCGTTTCCTTTTAACAAGCGCACAAACTGCTTGGCGAGGTAATCTCCTTCCGTCCCTGCATTGTTGCAGGTTTCGATGAAATGTGCGACATGTTGCTTTGGGTTTCCCTTTCCGTCAAATTGCATAAACTTCGGCGGTTGATAGCCCTTCGGCATCCTTAAGGCGTCAATCTTCCTGGAGTAAGGCTTCGAGTACAACGTGGAGGCATGAGAGCTTCCTTCATACTGTGCCTTGATGGTGTTGGTGATCATCTCTTGCAGCTGCTGGATAGAAAGAGATCCCATGAGTGCCGCTGCTTGGTCTGGCTCCGGCTTCACATCGATTTTCTTCACCGGGGGCTCGTCTTCTTCGTCGTCTTCCTTCTTCAGATGATCAATCTTCAGGTTGGGTTTCTTGCCATCCTACGCCTCCAGTCGGTTGACGAGTGCTGCAATTTGTAAGTCTTTTTCTTCCACAGTTCGGGTTAACCTTGCAATTGCTTCATTCATCTGAGCCAGCTGCTCATCGATTGAAGTTGCTCCGGTAGCCATAACTTGCATGGATGTGATGTCGCTTGAGTCAGCATCTGAAAACAAAGACTCGGAGTACTTCTTCGGGCTTTCCTCCCTTGGTGCCTTTAGCGAGGCCATGGTGATCACAGGTTCGTACCTCAGGTACTCTTGTTCCTTTGGCAGGGTTGATGTAGGGGTGGAAGAGGAGGCAACAAGAGCTCTTGCCTTGCTTCGAGTTACGATGCCTGAAATGGCGCCGCCTGCGGCAAGGATGCTCTTGTTCTTCGTGTTGGTTGTGGGAACAGCTTGAGCCTTCCTTGATGCCATTGATTTTGGAAGTGTGCTCGAATTTCTTGAACGGAGAAAGAGATGAGAGGTAGAGATGATCCCACCGGGCGTGCCAATTTGTGAACACAGAAAATTCCTGAAACGAAAGAGACAAGAACAACGTGCACAAAATAATATTTGTGTTTGATGATTTTGGGTTACAATCTCTCTCAAATTTGATCCTCTGATTCGATCTCCGTAAGGTGTTGATTTGTGGATGTTTCGTTGATCCAAGGGCCGTCGAGGCTTGATCTTGGATGAACTGTTGGAAGTTTCTTCAAGGGGCCGTGGGCTTGATCTTTGAAGGTGGATTTGAGCGGATCTTCAAGGAGCCGTTGGGGCTTGATCTTGAGGATGAGTGTTTCTTCAAGGGCCGTTAAGGTTTGATCTTGAATAACGGTGATGAACGGATCTTCAAGGGCTTTTGGGCTTGATCTTAAAGAACGGATGATTGTTGATCCAAGGGCCGTCGGGGCTTGATCTTGGGATGAACAGTTGTGTGGATTTATTGATGTTGTTGATCCAAAGGGTCGTTGGGGCTTGATCTTATGATGAACAGTTATGTGAATTTGATGATGTTGTTGATCCTAAAGGGCCGTCGGGGTTTGATCTTAGGATGAACAGTTGTGTGGATTTGTTGAACACTTTCTTCAAGGGCCGTCGATGCTTGATCTTGAATTGGTGGAAGTTCTTCAAGGGTCGTTGGGGCTTAATCTTGAAGGGGAAATTTCTTCAAGGGCCGTTAGGGCTTGATCTTGAAGGAGGATTTGACGAAGAACGAAAAGGGCTTTCTTAATCCTTCGGGATTTGCTTGAATTTGGGAGGTTGGATGCTTGAAAGCTTTAGAGTTTCAAAGCTTCAAGGATTTTGGATGTGTGGGGAGTATTCTCTTCCATTTTAGGAGTAGAAAAATGTATTTGTGAATTGGTTTCTTGATTCTTTGATGGAGGAGCCTATTTATAAGCTTTGGGAACGAATCACCACCATCCATTTGTTTTGGTGGATGTTGTAGGTGAATTTTGGTGGATGTTGTAGGTGAAACTTGGTGGATGTTTGTAGGTAAAACTTGGTGGATGTTGTAGGTGAAACTTGGTGGATGTTGTAGGTGAACTTGGTGGATGTTGTAGGTGAATTTAGTGTATGATGTAGGTGAAGTGAATGAAGGTTGTAATTTTAATACAATGGTCAACATTTATTTCACCAAAATTTCAATGTTTACAAATGTAATCTTAATGCAATGGCTAACATTTATGCCACCGAAATTTCAATGTCTACACATACTTTTAAAATTAAATTATGGTCGTACGATTTGAATCAAGGGTCAGAATAAGCAGGTCCGCAGTCGGGACAGAAGGGTCCGGAGAGGAACCGGATCCGAATAGAACAACCTGCTAGAGTCGCCAAGGAATCCCACTTCTAACGACGCCGCCGTTTCACACTCCGCCAATCCACTTGGCCACCATAACTACACACAAACACGAATAAACAAAAATCTCAATTATTATTTTTAATATTGTAGAAAAAAGGAGGAAAAATCCCGTTTTCAAACCAATCCTCCATCTGCCAACCAAGACTTCCATATTTTGCAGGAATTAATGGAACGTGGAAAAAAACTTCAACCAGCTTAATCCGCCATTGACTTCGGAAGAACAAATCCATCTCTCTCTCTCTCTCTCTAAAACTACTAGGCAGGCAGAGTGTCAGATCTGCAGCTGGGTTTCCTTTCATAGCTCCCTCAGATATCTCCCTCTGCAAAATCAACAGGTACCCAATTCATTTTCTAATCATGATTATCTGCGTTTATTACCATTACGGGACGTTCCCAAGTTTTTAATTTTGTTTGTTTTCGGTTTCGGGAAAATATTTTAGAGTTGCTAAATTTGAACAACTGGGTTGGTTCGTTACTTTTGTGGGCGGAATTGAATGATTTTATTTGGGTTTGAGAATTTTGGGTGGAGAGTTAAGATTTAGCTTCAACACTGATCGTGGGTCACTGGGTTTCTGTTATTTTTTCTGTTTTAGGAGGGACTGTGATTCAGCTGAATTACCAAATGTGGACGAAAACCATCCTTTAATGGAAAAAGGAAATTGAAATCAAGACAAAGATTGGTTCTTTAATGGATTAATGATTTGGGTTTGAAGGGTATTTCTCACTAATTGAAGCTCTAGTTGTAATTAATTGCATTTGTAATATGTATTTTGGATAGTTGGGTTTTCGTGGTAAACGCCGTACGAACCTAATGTTTGTTGTTTTGATATTTCTTACAGTTTGATGACTTCTTTATAGCTTATTAATTGTAGGGAGCTTCTTGCAATTTTTGGCAGTGGTGTATACAAAAGTTTTCAAACCAAATTCGGGAATGAGATAATGAAATGGAGTAAAATGCAAGATTCACTTAGTTATAATGGGAACAATCAGTTATGTCAATATCGGAGGTTGTCTTGAAGAGAACCTTGAACTGCCAATGAGATGTCTTTGAGTAAAAGTGCATCTCAGCAGTTGACGGATCGTGGGACACAGAATAGGAGCACTGATGTCTTCAACAGGTAATACCATAAACCAGCTTATTATAAATAGTATTTATTAACCAGGATTGTGTTTCTAGGTTGATTGATTCGGTATTTCTCTGTTTTTAATAGTTGAGCGTTGTTATAAATCCCTTTTGGTAAGGAAGGAAATAAATTGATGGAAACTTCTTTTGCACTTGTTAATTATTTCATGCTAGCCTAGAGCACGAATGAGGTTGCGTAGCTCATGGACTTTATTTTTTCAATGATTTTACGACCTTACGGACTAGAATTTAGTTATGCTCAAAATGGTGGACATGAGAGTTTCTCCGGAGATTGCTGGGGAAAAGACTTTTGGTATTAAGAACAGTAGGAACCTTTTATGCTTTATCAACTGTTGAGATAACTTTATATTTGAAAATTGGAACTTGAGTTGTGGTTTGTATGGTTCAGGTTTTTTTTTTGGGGGGGGGGGGGGGGGACGTGGATTGTAGACTTAGTTATTGCTTTTCTAGTTAAGAAGTTTCTAGACAATGAAAATGGTAATAAAGAATGTAACCGACAAAACAGATATTGATTAAGAAGAACAGCGAGATTCTTATTTGGTCCATTAAAAAGGTTGACAACACGAAGCCTTGGAGTCACAGGACAGCCGTTTAGGATTAGAAGTCTTATCTGGATGATAAGTAATAAATATTTATAATATTCTTTTTAAGTTGAAAAAGAACTTATATGAAGTTGAAAAGTCTCATCCGGTGCAAATAAGAATCTTATGAAAATTTTCAACTTCATATAAGTTCTTATGAAATTTTTCATAAGAACTTAAAAGCTTTTCTGCACATATAAGAACTTATATGTAGTTGATAAGTCTCATCAGGTGCACTGTGCACAAAAGCTCTTAAGTTCTTATGAAATTTTTAATTATTTCCTTCATTGAGCATCAATACCATGAAATACAGATCCCCATTACTTACGTAATTTATAGTGGTTTGTGGTATCTTCCTGATGTGAAGCATCTTTTCCCCCCCTTCCATCTGTAGGCATGGCTCTGAAACACAGCTTGCTCCAAAGAATTTAAAAGATGACAATGGTGTCCATATCAAAGATCCAGAAGCTATGGTACTGGTACTTCATTAATCTACACTTAAAAAATGAAACTTTATTGATATTTTGACACTATGTAATTTAATGAACAGGAACTTTATTCCCGAGCCAGAGCTCAGGAAGAGGAGATCCAATTTCTTCGTGGGCAAGTTACTGTTGCTTGTGTGAAGGTATATCAGTTCATAGCTTGCCTTTTTTTTTTCCCACAAATATTTGCTTTTTTTTTTTTTGAATTGGTGTTATTTTGCATACTCAAATGTGAGGATTAAGTGGTCTTCATTGTATCAGGAATTGCGCTTGCTGAATGAGAAGTATGCATTGGAGAGGAAATTTGCTGACTTACGGATGGTTTGTCCATCGCTTGAGAATTATTATGGTTTTTTCTTGGAATTCTGCTTTTTTTAAATTGAAGATACTTGTAGTCTTTGTTTGCAAGTTCTGAAGTATGAAATAATATTACCTCGTTTGATAGGCAATTGATGAGAAGCAGAACGAAGCCACTACTTCTGCATTAAATGAGTTGGCCCGCAGAAAAGGAGATCTTCAAGAAAATCTTAAACTAACTCATGAATTGAAGGTAAAGTAATCATTGAAAATGTTACGAGCTATTTTAGATTATTATGGTAGTTTGTAACAGGAAATCCTATTCTTTGTTGTTTATAGAAAAATAGCAACAATGATGCCCAAGATATCGTATTGGGAAAATGGGTTGCAATACCATATGTTACAATTGACTCTATTTCATGACAATAAAAGCTCTTTGACTGGGTTTCTCAGAAGACCTCCATGACAATACAAAATAGAAGTAACTTTTTGGCTTATATCCTGGAAAAGGAAAGCTTTTTTTTTTTTTTTTTCCAAAAACTCGTAAGGGTGTTGATGAAAATATAAAAGCTCAGAGGATATATCTGTTGTGTGGACATTTCCTAAAAATAAATGGGTGGAGGTTGAGTTTGAGCTCCAGCTGGTCGGTACATGGTATTATTTAACCGGTTAGAGAGTGAGAAAGAAATGATAGTTTGTGTATAATCTATCTGATGGACAAGATTAGATGCCATTTTTTACTCATTTATTTAACAAGCTTATTCTTCCCTACTTGAAGTATGGTGTTCCATTGGTTCACAGAACTTACATAGAAAAGTGTAGGCGCTAGAGCTCTTTAATTATCATTTGAATTTTTAACCATATGGGCCGGGAAATTTTGGTCTTATTCGAAATTTCCTTAATTGGTTTGTTTGGTGCCTTGTGAGCTTTCACCACTTGTTTATTGTTTTAGAATGGATGTAAACACGAACTTATGTCAGATTGTCAGCATAAAGTTTCCTAATGTGAGTCGACAGCAATTGTTTTCTAATCAGGATAAAGTTTATTACATGTCCAGAGTTTCTATATGTTTGCCTGAATAACTTTGGATATGTCATCTTTATTTGTTCCTTGCATTTCTTATGTCTGTGCTTTTAAAAACTGCCAGATTTTTTTTTTTTTATTTTCAATTTCTGTTACAGCTACTGATTGTTATGTATTTGTTAGGCTGCAGACGATGAGAAGTATATCTTCATGTCATCCATGCTAGGGTTATTGGGTGAATATGGGATTTGGCCCCATGTCATAAATGCGTCTGCCATATCGAACAGTTTAAAGGTAACAATCATATGCTACAAGAACAAGTGTCATGGGTGATGCCATATTCTGTTGTAACATCCTTTAAGGAGATATCTACATTTGATTGTTCTTATTTTACGCTATATTTTGTTTTCCTATGTCCATGATAGTCTCACAGGTTTAACTTTTACAGAATACATACCAGTTTAGAATATATTAGTCCTCTTCAGTCTAAAAGTTTGTGGAAGGAACTTCCACTAAAAAAATATTTATATACTACTCTTGTCATTCTGCGGAATTGATAACTAAATGTATTGTGTCATAAAAAATTGGGGATACTTTGTCTGGTGTACATAAAATATAGTGCATTCCATTAAGCTTATAGTAATAAGTAAGATAATCTTCCCTGAAATTGAGATGTCTTAGATGATTAAAAAGAAAAGATCAAGCCAATGAACATCCAATTAATGCTGAGTTAAGGTGACCTATTTGGCACACTGATAATTGTTCAGAATAGACAAGTGGGATCAGATCTTATGTTAGATTTATAATGAAAAAAGCAGAGCAAAACAAAATTAGTTGATAGACAAGCCCAGAATCTTAGCGCAATAAATTTTGTCTTCTTTTAATTGATTTTTTGCTTTCTTGAATCTACAGCATCTACATGATCAATTGCAGTGGAAGATTAGAACTTCCCATGTAAGTAGCACTCTTGTGACTTCATGCTGTTGTTAGTGTTTATTCGTTGTTCATATACTGTAGAATGCATTGCTTACTCTTCCTTATGTATAGAAAACTGTCACGAAGCCCCTACTGAAAAAAAAAAAAAAAAAAAAAAAAAAATTATGAGTAAAGGTTAAATCTTCTCAGATCATATGGCTTCTCGAGTCCGTTCCTCTTTGAAATACTTGAAATGATTAAGTTGGGAGCAGGACTGTGATTTACCTGCTAAAGGATTCATGCATTGGATAAGTAAGGAGGACAAACTTTGTGCTTGAAGGCATATTTTTGTACTGTCCTGAACCATGAATAATTCCTACTTATTGTAGGCATCCCATTTCACCTTATTATTATATCAGAAACATGAGAATATGACAAACCTTGGAAAGATGATAAAGTTACACAATCAGTGAACCTAGTAATAGAATAGGTCAACGAGCACCTTAATCTGCAAATTAGTATTGTTCACCAACACCACATTGTATGGATCTCACTGGGGTTTTTACTTCAGTTCGTACTTCATAAGGTTGACACTTGTGTGAAATTAAGTACCTTGTTTCCTGATTTTGGTGATACCTCTACTGTTTAATTTGATTTTTCACTATTCCCCAGTAATCAGCAGAAGCATCTTATCTTGACAAATGCAGTAAGGCATCTTCTTACTTTATGGCAGGATAAAATTAGACAATTAACCTCCGCAGTGGACAATCATGGTGAAAGTGAATCTCATGGTAAAGATAGCCATGGTTCTGCCATTTTGAATGGCCAATTTCCTGATAGATCCACAGTACTGATGGTATAAACCTACTCATATACTTTTTTTGGTCTGAGCTTTGTCATGGATTGTTTTATTTTCTTGTTTACTGAAAACACCGTCTCTCTTTGTTTTTCCTAATGCAGGGACGGCAAGGCTTTGATCGTTATACTGATGACCAACATTTGGAGCCAACTGACACATTGCCGAAATATGTGACTGACATCGATGGGATGAAAATGCTAGTAAATAATGAAATTCCGCCTGAGTTCACAACCAATGCAGAGAGGTTGGTGTTAATTATTCATTTTGGTTGCCTTGATCTTTTATTTTCCCACCATTAGTAAGCATATATGTGTTTGGAACAAAAAATCTTACTGATTGCATCAAAATTTTAACTTTCTATAAACAGCTCTATATAGTTAAAGACCCCGGTATTATGCTGAACCATGTTTGATAATTGCATACAATTTCTTTATAGCAGTGAGGTCTTCTGTTGAAATTTCATATTTGCTCCGCACCTCTGTTTGTTATTTTGGTTACAGCATTTGTGGTTGGTACAATTGAATTCTAATTTAGTAATTGAAAATTGATAATTCGCAAGTCATTGCCTAAAATCAATTACACTGCCAGACGACCTTGGCCACTAAGCATGGTGCTATTTGAAATAAAACTGAATAATTTGGACACACATTAATTTCTTTTGAGTAATTCTTATCAAGTTCTTGAAAGTTACAAGTAGTCGTAAATTGTTCCGTAATATAGTGTATTAGCGGCATCTTATAGCTTCATATCAATGAAATTCGTCAATAAATTTGGATCGACTCTTACACTGAAGGAAGTTCATATATATAACTAAAATGCAAGGGGTTATTTAAAAAGTAACCATAACATTATAGAATAAGTTTCTACGCACCTGGGTTTAGATGAGGAGTTTTTTTTATATGACCGCTCTTCCTTTTAACTGAGGCTGTGAATCATACAATTCTCAGGGATATGGCTGGATTTATTAATAGAGATGATGCAAATGTGAGAGGCAGGAGTATGAACAATGGCACCTCATTTTCTCCTTACACCACTCAAGATGAGATTGCTCCCTCTGTTTCTGAAGGTGATTGATTTTTTCATTTTTATAAAAAAGGGATTCGGTTGCTTGCCCATTCATGAAATCTAATAAGTGTTATTTCATTTAGTGGGCCCTGGAATAGAGAATTTTCAGATTATTGGTGAGGCTATTCCGGGAGGCAAACTTCTTGGCTGTGGATATCCAGTACGTGGGACCTCACTTTGTGTGTTTCAGGTGAAACTCCTTGAACGTTCTTCACTCGTAAACTTCCATCTATTAAGCAGTTTGCATATGTTATGAGTTCCTTCCTTATACATCATCGTTGTTTGCATATCAGTGGGTTCGTCATCTTCAGGATGGAACTAGGGAGGTCATTGAAGGTAGACGTTTAAATGATTTTTTATTTTTTGGTAGTTTTCTTGTGATTTGGGTCCTTTCAGTGTACTCGGTATCTATGTATGTATTGTTTTATTTTATTTTCCATTTTGGTTTTGTGTTTTCTTCAATCAGGTGCCACAAATCCAGAATATATTGTCACTGCTGATGATGTTGATAAGATAATTGCTGTTGACTGCATACCGATGGATGAACAAGGCCGTCAGGTTTTCTGCTTACCTTTTATGTGCATAGTGTCATAAGTGATTCCATTCATTTTAAACTTTTCAGTTATGACTATTTTGTTTCCTGATAAATTTATTTTTCATTGTCAGGGGGAGCTAGTGAGGCATTTTGCTAATGATCAGAACAAAATTAGATGTGGTATGTGCATTTATGCTGTATTGATGCATTTGATGTAAACACTCTTAAGGCGACGCTTTATTTTATATTATTTTTATATTTAGGTTTTAATTCTAGTTGAAAATTCAAAGCAAATTTTTTACCAAGGCATGGAGTATTGTCATAAAATCGAAAATATTTGTGACCTAAACCCAAGTAACTTAAGTGAAAAAATAATCGAAAATATCAACTACAGTACTTTTAAAGCTGAAATCTGATAATTTAAGTTAGTTTCTTGTTTTCCAGTTTTGATTTTGTCACCAACTCTTCTCCTCCAACGCATTGGTTTTCTTGCCCCATCTGAATTGTAATATTTGCATTGTTTTTTCACTGAGGTACTTTCTAGACCCAGACATGCAAATGGAGATTGACACACATATTTCTAAAGGACAAGCCAATTTTAGTGTTCTACTACTGGTATGGTTATTGTTTTCATCAAGTTTATATTTTTATTCTCTTTCTTGAAGCATCACTTATTGATCAGTCACCATCTTTAGTGTAGATTGGTTAACCCATCCCCTGACAGTAATTTAAAATGCTAATTTATTGGAAATTTGTTGCTTGGTGAAATTTCAAATATAATGATTGAGGCTCTAGATTAGGAGGAAACTCCAGTCTAGGTATTTTCATTAATGATGTTTACCAATTGTGGCCATCGTTGTTTAAACGCATTGTTAAAGTTTTGTTCACATTTTTTTTCCTCCTCGTGCGTTACTACCTTGTATAACTTGTATGCATATGGAACTTAAGGCTCTAGATTGAATCACTTGTTGCATAATTAGTACGTATTACTCCGTACTTTTATTGGGACGGAAGAAAGGAAAATATTATGTTAAGCACCCAAATTGCATTATCTGTATATTTTGCAAGTTCTATGCACAGATAAACTGCCATGATGACCTGAGTTTATGGAAAATAGGTTCAAATGTGTTATAAATGGGGCAATTATTTGAATTCAGAAAGTCATTTTCCTTGTTCAAATGTCTCAGAGCTTTCGTGTCTTTGAGACTTCTGATTCAAAGGATTTTGTACTTAATACTTTGTTCCTGGATTGTGGAGCAAGCTTGGGAACCTGTTCCATACTGGGGGAATATGGCCTCATCTACTTATTAACAAACATTTACTAGCATATATGGTTACTTATCTTAGTAGTGTCTTGTTTCCAGGCTCTTCTTTTTTGGTTTTTTGTTTTTGTATTTTTGTTATGTAGGGCGAAGGACGTTGTCTGGTCAAAATGACATCAATTTAGCTATATGGTTTAGTCATCCCTTTGTACCTATCGCAACAGATTATTTTCCTTTCCATTATCTAATTCAGTTGGCTTGTATATAAACAATATTCAAAATCTGTTGCAACCAACTTATGGCTTATGTATCATGTGAAAAAACTTTTCCCATATACTTTTGCTGAAAAACAGATGGACTCTTCTGATGATTGGGAGCCAGCAACTCTGGTTCTGAGACGGTCAGGCTATCAAATCAGGATCAATAGTGCAGACGCTGTTTTATTTGAAGAAAAGTTCTCGAAGGAGTTATCGGTACGTTCTTTACTTGGTGATACTTCATTTTTGAGTAATTAAGTTTTTATGTCATGAGATCCTCTTGAAGTTGCTTGTTTTAAGTATTGGCTGAGTTAACGGCATTATCCTAATGAATATAATTAGTAGTATACAATGGTATCAAGTGAAGTTGTATCAAGTGGGTCTAGGAAAGGTTGTTGATCAAACTTTATGTTCTCACACTTTCTCACAATGAGTGAAAATTCCTTATGAAAATACGTATTCCTCAGAGAAGTAAAAGCTAAAGCTAATATCCTTAAGCACATGATGGTAGTTATAGATTTCTCCACTAATCAAAACAATATATAAAATGTATCGTTGGATATTTGTATTTTCCAAAGTATACTCAACATTCTATAATTTTCTGGTTGCAGATCAAAGTTCCTTGTGGCTTCTCGACACAATTTGTGTTGACACGTTCTGATGGATCTTCTCATCCTTGTGCAACATACAGTATTCAGTAATACATTAATTTTATATTTATGTGTCGATTTTAATTTTTTTCCATAAATTATTGTAGTTATATATTAAAACAGAACATCTTGATAATAACTTTGTGTTGTTATTATTATTATTTTCCCTTTATTTGAAGCATACTAAACACTCTTCTTTCTGTCAAGAATATCTCATCTAATATGATTATTCAATTTCTTTTGTAGGTTGCGTGATACTCTCGTGTTGACCATGAGAATACTCCAAAGCAAGGTATTCCTTCTTACCTAAATTTACTTCACATTTTGCCTAACTCTGGGACCATACTTTTATGGTTAAGATATTAATGGGGATATTTTTTTTTTAGTACTTGGGATGAGAAATTTCTTTTTGATATAATTCCTTCCATGCTTCTTTGACCGAAAAAAGAAAAAGTATCTCCATGCTTCAACTTTTGCGTTTGACTCTAATCCACATAATCTGTTGTAGGTAAACTAACATCAAACCAATACGTTACAAAGCATCTCTTTGTACTCCAAGCTTATAAAAGGTCAATTGAATTTGTGCCACTTTCTTGCCTACGATACAAATGTTTAATTGATTCCTCCTAGTGAGCAATACAAAAGACGGGATTGTGGTAGTGTTTATGGATTGTCGATGCGACTCCATCATTAACCTACACTGTTTAAGTTCAGGGGTTTTGTCACAAATGAAAATATTGCAGCTCTATTCTGTTGTGTACACTGAATAAAATACTTGTGTCATAGTCAAGAAAGCAGTACGGATTTAGTTGACCTTTCTTGGAGTACAAAGAGATGCTTTGCATCATACTGTTCTGATGTTAGTTTACCTAAACCAGAATATCTGGATTACAATAAAACTCAACAAGTTGAAGCATGGAGATACTTTTTCTATTTTTGATTGAAGAAGCATGGAAATATTTGAAACAATCATTTTCTGATAAGGAGCGATTATAATGATGGATGGATACATAAGAGAATCAATGCGTATGTATTATGCACACACAAAACAAATACACAGAACACATGGTCTGCAGACAATCAAGAAGTTATATTGCTAGACTGCTGATTAAGATTCTTGATTTAGTGGAATATCGTCTAAATGTGTCGTGTGTGTATTCGATCAACAATTGTGATTGACTAACCCACAAAGTGCCCTTCTGTATGGTTAATATGTATATCAGTGGATCGTTAATATGCATGTATACGTTTTTATCTGAACTTCCATCCATCGTTGAACATGTTTCTATTTGGAATGCTTAGTTTCCGGTCATACGTACTCTTAATCATTTCTGACCTTCAACCGCGGAAACTTTCGTTTCTTTTGTGTTTTGGAGCAGGCACTGGATGACAGAAGGAAAGGAAGAGCATAGCCCGTATTTGAGCGTAATGTTTATACCCATTATTCATTCATAGTAGAAACGAGAAATAATGAATTAGACGACGGCGATTTAAATTGTAGAATGTGTAACTAAAAGATAAAAAGGAAAATCGTTTATAACTTGTATTATGATACATAGTAAAATGTCTATTTGTGAACCACAGTATCATGTTGTATGAACTCATCTTTTATTCAACCATGTATACTTTTTGCATAGATTGAGTTTGTATCCTGTTGTAGAAGAGTGATAATGATGTTACAACTTTAAATTATAATGACTTCCCTTTCAGTGAAGGTCAATTAGTTAGTTTAAATTGTTGCATCTGCGTAAGGATATGACTTACTAGTCAAATTATCTTATATTTTGGAATCCTTTCTTTATCCGTATTCCTTCTCGTTCAATATTTGAACTTTGGACACAGTAGGTTGAAGAAGAAGACTGGCTATCATGGCGATCCACCGCTTGATCCATGTCTAGTGCCTTGGTTTTAACCATACATAATAAAATTAACTTTCTGGCACTTCGGAAAAGTCATTTTGCACCCTTTAGGTTTAGGCTGTAATCTCTCTAGTGTGTTTTGGGACAATAAGTTGCTTTTGAATTTTGAAAGCATGATCAATGTGGTGGAGCAAATGAAGGCAAAATTGGTAGTGAGCCATTTTGAGTATCATTTAGGCTAACGTTTAGAGCCCTGCTTTTGGGCCAAAAGTAGGCAATTAAAAAAAAAAAAAAAAAGGGTCTGGATGTTTTGTAGATATTTCAGCTTATAGAGATACTTTGGATTAATACAAGCGCAAAATGTGATTTTCACACCCTTTTTAAGTTTTTTACAAACTCTTGTTTAATTATGGTTGTTGATTTTATTTGATTTATTCAATCCGATGACCATAGATAAAGAGAAATTGTGAGAAACGAAATAGGTGTGTGAAAATCACTTTCTTTAATACAAGTTTTAAATAATATTATAAATGTGCTCTGAAGTTACTGAAGTAGATATGGAGAAAGAAGTAGTGTGTAAAGGAGAAAGTGAGTATTGTAATTGCACTTTACTGGATTGTTCTCAATTTTAATACAAATATTAAAACTCTTACTATATAGCATGAGTAATTGAACGTTAACTTGATTTATTAAAAACATGTTGCTGTGTAAGAGGCTTGTAAATCATTTATGAGTATTCATCCTTTCATTTGAGGTTTTGAGTTTGATTTCGTCTGGTTTTTATCATTGTATTCACAACGACAACATATTATTAGTCTAACTTGATAAGGCCAAAACAGGAACAGATGAGACCTTATGACAAGTGTTTGGATTTGGAAGTTAGGATGACGGTGAGGCCATCTCCAACCAAGAGCATTTGGCCAATATTAGTTCCAAATTTGAACAAAACAGTCTTCATCCAAGAGCATTTGGCCAATAATAGCCCAAAAATTGAACAAAACCAGTTTCCAACAAAAAATATTTGCAAATTGGTGTGTTCTTTATTACTGGCTGGAACTTGGAAGAGCCAAAAGATCAAGTTTGGAGCCGTCTTTATTTGGCCGGGGAGGATTTCAGGCCTATTTGGACGGCACAAAATTGGAAAGGCACTATTGGGTGGTGTTGCATTCATGTAATTTTCTAGGGTAAATTACACAAAATTACCTTAACTATAAGTCGAACCATAATTTCATACCTCATGTTTTAAATATTACAATGTCATATCTCAACTCATAAATTCGTTGCAATGTCAGACATCTGTTAAACTTTCTGTTAATTTAGTTGTTAAATGATGATGTGGCAGGAGCATGACCCACTCCTATACCTATTGGAATAAAAAAAATATATATTAATAAATTAATAATTTTTATTAAACAATTAATACATTTTTATTTAATAAATTATTACTTTTTTATTTTGCCTCCTTTTTCTCCAAGCTCTCGTTGTCTCCCTCACCCTCTCTAATCTAACTTGCAGAGATCAATGGCAGCCATTGTCTCCCTCCTTCTTGCCCTCCTCCTCTTTCTACTCGCACTCCAAACCCCTCGTCCACGCCAAAACCTCCCGCCCTCGCCGCCAAAACCTTCACCAAGTCCTCTGCCAGTCCACTGGGTTCGAGCGGAGCACATCAGGCTCCAGATCTGGTATGGGCTTTGTAAAAAACGGGTCTGGGCATACCATCAAGCTCTAGATTCCTTTTACACGATGCTGCCGACATGGTTGATTCAAAGTCGTCAAATACGAGTTCGAGCGGTGCAGGTGGGTCGACGACATGGGAGTGCCAACGAGTATAGATGCAGGTTTGTGGGTGGTTGCAGGCGAGATGCAGGTTCGGCGGAGATGGATTTGATGAGTTTGACAGCTGATGTTATTGCGAATTGAAGAGCCCAGTAAGAAGGAAAGTAAGACAAGAAAAGAGGGATTAAAAATATTGTTAAATAAAAAATTATTAATTTATTAATAAAAATTAGTTTTTTATTTCAATAGGAGGAGGAGTGGGTCCTGCCCCTGCACCTCATAATTTAACTGCCAAATTAACAGAAAATTTAACAGATGTTTAATATTGCAACAAATTCATAAATTGAGGTATGATATTGCAATGTTTAAAACATGAGGTATAAGATTGTGGTTTGACCCATAATTGAAGTAGTTTTGTGTAATTTACCCAATTTTCTATGCTACTTTGGGATGGGTAAAACTCCTATCTCAATGCATGGAAATCCTTAGTCAAAATTTTAAGAGCAACTTATATAGAATAGGTTCATCGTTATTTGATTCAATAATGTAATATCATTTTTTAAAAATATTTATAAATAATATGATATAATCATATTGAGATGCTTTGATAACAATGAATCAGTTTTGTACAAGTCATTTATCCCAATTCCCAATTTATTCTCTTGAGCTGATAAACCAGATCTAGGCCTTGCATGAGGGACAAAGATTGTCTGCCCTTCCACTTTCAGTGCCCTCTTGTACCCTCCTGTTTGTGTGGTCACAATTAAAGCACGTCAACATTTTATATTACTATTTATTTTTGTCTTATTATCTTTATAAAAAAAATAATATAAAATGTTGACGTGGCTTAACAGTGATCACACAAAACAAAATGACACCGAAAAGTAAGAGGGCATACAATCCTTGTCCTTGCATGAGACTCACATGGTTGCACGTGGTTAACTCACATCACATTTCTCTCCTAAGTGAAAAATGATTGTCGGATTTAAATAATTTACTTTACTAACTTTTCATTTTCAAGTAGTTTTGTTATAGGATTTATTGTTCATTTGTTTAATGCAAAGGAATAATCATTGTAACTAACGTCGGCCTCCTAAGGCCTGCCTGCGTCTACGTAGGATAAACATCTCATATTCAATTTGGTAGAGCCTTAATTAAAGGGGTTTGAAGTTAAAACGACATATGATATTGATATAATTCATCACTTTATTAACTAATGAAAATCGACAGTTTTTTTAAAGTTACTCTTCAGTTTGTCCACCATAAATAATGGCTCTCCTGAAGAAAAAAAATGTCATTATCTTTGTCAAGTAGAGGGATTTGTTTGATAAAAATACTTTTAAAAGGGTCATGTGGTTTGTTAACGTGACAATTTAACGAGAATATAAGCAGATTTTTCATGGAATAACCTTTTTACGGTGAACAAACTCATGAATCACTTATATTAGTTTTCATTGTTAGAGACTAAAATGAGAAGTTATGTCAATCTCCGAGACAATTTTCACTAAAAAACCTAACTCAAATAACGTTTATTTTAGGAAGACAACTCCTTTCAAAATTCGGGAATCTTTAAAGCCTGATAGGTTTGTTCAACAACACCATGTATAGGATTAAGCAAGTATATAAAAGTCTTTGCATTGAGAAATTATTGTTTATGTTGTAAATTTGTAATATTGTTATGCACGTAATAGTATTAGTTTACGTATTAAATATGAGACAACAACATATATTTGCTTGAAGAAAAATTAATCTATGTACAAATATTATAATAAGAGTTAATTAGTAACACATGTAATCATGATACAGTAACACCTAAAAATTATTACACTACAATAACATTCCCTAAACTTTATCTGCAATAGATCTCCTTTGTTCTATTTCACAGGGACACCATTGTCAAACAATGTCTTCTAAGACCGTTGTAGACATCGAAATTTCGGTAAATAAATGTTGACCGATAAATCAAAGTGTCAACGCTCATGTATTGCATAAATTTTACACGTAGCATGTGACTCAACGAAAATTGAAATGAGTTGGAAAAGTCATCAAATAAGACACGTGTCAACACCTGGCAGAAACGACTTATTTCATCTGGGATATTATATTCAAAATTAGGTCTTGGAAAATTCTATAAATACAAGCCCATTTCATTCATTTGGGAGAACCAAAATCATTAAGCAAGCTCTGAAGCTCTGAAACTCCGAAGCTCTCAAGCATCCAGGTTCCCGAAGAATCAAGAAAGCTCTCTTCGTTCTTCGTTCTTCGTTCATCCTAAGATTAAGCCCCGACGGCCCTTTGGATCAACAATCATCCACCTTCAAGCCCAAGCCTCAACGGCCCCTTGAAGAAAGCGTTCATCGTTCATCGTTCATCAACTGTTCATCCTCAAGGATCAAGCCCCAACGGCCCCTTTGGATCGACAACATCAACGAATCCGCTCATCCGTTGTTCATCAAGCCCAAGCCTCGACGGCCCTTGAAGAAAGCGTTCATCGTTCATCACTGTTCTTCGAGATCAAGCCCAAAAGCCCTCGAAGATCCGTTCAAGCCCAAAAGCTCTCGAAGATCCGTTCATCACTGTTCTTCAAGATCAAGCCCAAAAGCCCTTAAAGATCCGTCAATCACCATTCTTCAAGATCAAGCCCAAAAGCCCTTGAAGATCCGTTCATCCTCGTTCATCCAAGATCAAGCCTCGACG